AAATTGACAGGTAGACGACTGGCGAATATATCGTGAGTTACTAATTTGACACAAAGACGAGTATCCTTTAGATCAGTCACCGACCGACATATGCGACACTCGGCTAGAGAGAAAAATGCGCACGCAGCATAAAGATTATTTAAAATTTACGGTCGCCACTTCGCCATGTGTTTCAGTAGCAATTAAAATATGTAATGAGAAGACCGAGACTTCGCGCCAAGGAATTAATAGAAATAATAAGACTACACCAAAAGTTAATAATAAGACTACAAAAAGGATTATTCTGCGTATTGTAGATTAATTTACAAAAAATAGTGGACACAGCCGAGTTTTCTGATAATGAAGAGGACCCATTTTCTATAAGTTAGAGTGAATATTTGCCAACTAAAGGAAGTGATCAGGAAAGCAGTGCTGAAGAAGAAATTGATGAAGATGTAAGCTATAGAATGGTGACAACTTTGATAAAAAAGATCAAAATAATATTGAAAAAGATTATAATGGAATACAAATCCAGTGGGAAGAAAATCAATTCGTCCCCAAGTTACATAAACTTGATGATAGTCAAAGCGAAGTACTGGCGTTGATGAACTTAACGGAAAAACCAAAGTCAATAGATTATTTGTTGAAAATGTTTACCAAAGATACAGCCAAATATATAATTGACGAAACTAACAGGTATACTATGCAAAAAATGATAAAAAATGGAAACATCTTTATGTAGATCAGATTTGTCACAATTCTATCGATTTGACAACTTCGTTGTTGATAAGAGTATGATATTGTTTAAGGGAAGACTCCTTTTTAAACAGTACATAAAAACCAAACGCGACAATTTTGGTATAAAACTTTATGTTATATGTGACTGCGAGACTGGTTTTGTTCTGCAATTTAGTGTTTATGCTGGGAAGAATGCTTATTATACCGAAAAAACTATCAAAGGCTTAGGTGCCACTGGAAATATTGTGGCTCTGCTTATGAAACTATCTAAACAAATACCACTCACTGATTACTGACAATTTTTATAGTGGTCTAAGCTTGTCACATTATTTGTATGAACATAAAACAAATTCGTGTGGAACTGTTATATCTAAAAGGCTTCATATGCCTTCTTTGCAAGAAAAATTAAAAAAAGGTGAAGTAGATTGGAGAAATTCTGACATTTACTTGGTGATTAATTAATGGAAAAACAGAAGAGACGTTATGATGATAACAACAATGCACCCAAATAAAATGGTTGTGCTTGACCAAATTGATTCTACTACTACAGAACCAGTAAGGAAACCATATGTGTTATTGAGTATAATAAACAAATGGGGTTATTCGACCGCTCGGGCATGATGGTAAATAGCATTGATTGCACGAGGAAAACCACAAAATGGTATAAAAAATTATTTTTTCACACAGTAGATATCTGTGTACTAAATTCCCATGCTATGTTCTTGCCAAACCAGACTATGCCAATATACATCAGATTTTTGGAAGGTAAATTTTTGTTTTTCAGTCGTTATTTACATACATAATAGTTTTTTTTTAATTTCAGATATGAAGAAGGGGAAAAAACCACATTAAAGGAAAAGCATTTTCTTGCATTTGTTCCAGCAACCGAAAGGACATAAACTGCCTCCAGAAGATGTGTTGTCTGTTCGCATACAAAAGAAACGGACAAAAAACGGAAGGTATCGAGATACATGTGTAAAGAATGTGATGTAGGTTTGTGTGTGGTTTCATGCTTCGACACATACCATACTAAAGAAATTAAAAAAAATGCACTTTTCTGTCAAAAAATTTAAAAAAAGGTTTTCTTAACAAATAAGAAAAATCTGTTTCCATAAGAATAACCTCCAATCAAGAAGCCACTGTAGCTGTAAATAAGTACTTTGCAGTACTTTCAAAGGAACACCACAGAAAGTGGATGACGGCATTAGAACACTGCTCGAAAAAATAAAACATAAAAATTCTTTATTTGGTTTTAAACTTTGAAGGGTTTAAGTTTTGAAACCTCATTGGAAAAATGAGAAATGGTTTTAATTGACAAACTATTGGAATGTACCACAAATAGGAACGTTAACTCAGATAAAAGAAACTAAATTAGCTCAAGACTCACGAAGGCAAAGTTTTAGAGAGCGAGTCTTTCTTGCTCTACATGAAACCAGACCCAACACAAGAAAACGTACAGATAGTGGTTGTAGAAAAAAAGGTCAACTGCAGAAATCGTTCAAAGATATGGAGTTGGATCAACAGTTATGGCCACATAACAGGTAAACCACTATCTAAAGAAAAAATTATTAAAATAGTAAAGTTAGTACCACAAGTACTAAGAAATATTTTATAATTTCTTAAGAACGGTGGAACAAGTCAACTTTATTGATGATGTAGATGGTTTTGGAGTAGAAAATGTGGACTTTGATTATGCGGATTAAAATTATTTAAAACCCTTTTAAATGATATTAAAATTTTTAATTATCTATTATCAAATATTTTGTCCTATATTTTGTATTACTAAAACATGTTTTATAATTAGTATGTGGGTTACTGTGTTTAAAAAACCTACTTTCTTGTATAATCTAAAAAGCAAAAGGATTTTATCTTTTACACAGAAATAATTGGTATATTTTTTAACTTGTGTTAAAAAAAGTGATTCCAAATTTTACTGATATAATAATATATCACATTCATACTATAATGAAACATGTCATTTGCAACAGATTATAGGCTTTAAAGCTATGTATCTCAAAACCAGACTTGTGTGGGTTGAGTCTTTTTTGCATAACCCCATCTAATTACGGTAAGGTTGAAGCTGGTTGCGAAAATAACGTATTTTCACCTGGAATCACAGAATTATTTCCACCGGAAAAACGACTGAATGCTCGGTATCCAATAAGTGACGAATCTGAGAAATTTTAGTTGCTGGTAGGGGCTATACGCTATTCAGACAGTGCTTGTGACATTGCCACAATCATTCCTCTAAAATGGGTTATTTTTAACTTGTTTTTCGGTTTTCCTGCCATAGTTTCGAATTGTACATAATTTCTTCTAATCGTTGAATTATGAGGAATATAGTAATGTGGAAATTGAGCACAGGTATGTTATATTTGAAGCATTTTTAAATCAAAACACTTCTCTGTAATTAAGTCTATTTAAAGTCAAATGAAGGTATTAAATTAAAGTGTAAATACAGTTTAAGATGTCTCCAAGACAGTTTAGTCGGTTGTAGCTGAATAGTAGTAAATAAATATCTACATTAACGTAACATAAAGCAAAAATAACAAGGTAAATACTTTTATTTCAATAAATTAAATTGGGTTTACTTTCTAACAATATTGGTTTCATTGTCAATGCTACATAGGTACGATATTTCTGTTTTTGGAATAACAAATCTCTCTTCAATTATCACAGAAATGTTATCTTAAATGATAAAAAGTAGACAATGCAAAAATATCACAAAAAATTAATAAAAAGTGTTACCAACCAATAAGAACAGGACCAGTGACGTTATTAATAGAAAATACCTAATAGTGTAATAATACTGAAAGTATATGCTTTTAACCAAGAATTCTAAGTAACCGATATGAATTACAGAAAAGTGACTAGTTATGTACTGAATGAGACATATTTGTCAACCTTATTAAAATACTAAATTTATTTTGTATCCATATCCACTGCAAAACATTACGATCCTGTTTTGTTTCCACTTAACGTTACTAATATTTGTTTTTGTGGATATTGTGTTAATATATACTAAATTTATTTTGTATCCATATGCACTGCAAAACAGTACGATCCTGTTTTGTTTCCACTCGACGTTACTAATATTTGTTTTTGTAGATATTGTGTTAATATATGCTAAATTTATTTTGTATCCATATCCACTGCAAAATAGTACGATCCTGTTTTGTTTCCACTCAACGTTACTTATATTTGTTTTTGTGGATATTGTGAATGTATGCTAATAGATATCATTTCTTGACAATAAAAATACTATGAAATTCAATTGTGCATGTACAATGTGCGCTTTTATTGGCGTTTATTTCAAATTAAAACGTGGTACAAAATATACGTAAGAAAAATTATTAACAAAAGGGTTATACCCGAAAAATTGGTCCTCTAAAAATAAATATTTATTACCTGATATTTCTAGTTAGACATGTCTCTTTTGAACTGAATTTTGGCTTTATGGAAAATAAAAAGTATTCTAGTCTATTATCGCTTAATGAATTGTAATAATTATTCCATTTTGGGGTCATACGCTTAAAAACTATAAAACCATTTGTTTCATTCAGTTATATTTGTATATACGCTGACATGAATAATACTTATATATTTAAGAAAATGCAAACAGCAGCCGCGTTACTCTTTCAGTCAGTTTTTCTTATTGGTAATATGGTGTATCGATTAATTAATTAAAATTTCAATTGAACTTTCAGGTATCATTAGTATATAATAAATAAATATATTAATGTATTTGAAAACTCAATTTTTAAAAGCAAATTCCAGTTTAAAATTGGTCTCTAGCTTTATAAGACATTTTTGCTGTTATAAATTTTTATAAATTTTATAAACATTTCTTCACACTTTTCTGCTACTTCCTGAATACTCGAGAAATAAATGCATTATACAGAAGCAGATAGAATATACAAAAAAAACTGTCTTCTCTGAAATAACCTGCAAAAAATAAATTTTCTGTGTGGTGACTAGAACTATGGACCATTAGGGGCTGTTTTAGGACATCTGACTTATTTTGAATATAATGATATAAAACTGTTTTGCAGTCATCTTTGATTCATATTTGAATAAAGATAATATAATAAATTAGTATAATACAATAAAGTTATTAACTTTTTATAACCATTAAGCCAAAATTAGTAACAATCCAACAGAAGAAGTCTCTAGATAGACAAAAAGCTTATTTTCTTTGATAATAGTATTGATTGGTACCGGTTACGAAAAATCATTGGTTAGTTATCAAGTCGTTTTCACCATTACTACACCAAAACAAATGCTTAGTGGGGGACTTCAACTTGTGCAGGACCTTTAATGTTTGCTCTTGCTTTATTTATTTTAGTAGGGGGTTTGAGGCCGTAATGCTTTGGTATTGCTGGAATACACTTTAACAAACCTGGAAAGCTTGAATTTGTAGCATAGCTTGGCACATTTTGCGTGGTCTGGTAAATCAACAACTCCTCCAGGTCACATTCTCTGAAAATAAGTTCAATATTTATTGTTAAACGGTGAGAATGAAAACTTGATTTTAACCTAGAATATTTCTTTGTAAAAATAAAATATTTTAACATTAATTTAAGTTCATTTATTTAACCAACCTCCCGATGAAATGTTTTGAGCTCTTTGGGAATTCACTACAATTTTAGAGATTCTGATTGCTGCGTTTGAAATTTAAATTTCTGACTGGTATATCAGAGAAATTAGCAAATTAAAATCCATTTTCGTGACACTCTTTGATACAAGTATCTAAAAACTGCTTTTGGGTATTTTATTAAATTACCCAAAATTTTTAATAAAGTACCCAAATTAGTGGGTACTTTAAAAGAAACGTGGATATTTTCAACCGAACGTTGTATGAGATTTCGAATATCTCCAGAAAGACTTTCGTGATGGTCTGGGAGTGAAACGTAATTGGGTTTGGTGGTAAGGTCTCTGGGGACGCAGTCTCCTGCAGGACTTAAAGGCGTCTTCTATGGGTGAGTTTGTTGATGATGTGATCATATCCATTAGTGACTGCTATTTGTCTGAGAATGTTAAGTTTTTTTTGTAGTTTAAATGAGAAAGTGGAATGGTTTCTAGGCGATGGATTTAACTATGAAAAGCTGCGTATTTGTGTGACATGGGGTGGTTAGATGAGAAAGATATTTAATAGTCAGTCTGTGTGGGTTTTCTATAGATACTGAAGTCTAAGTGGTCATTTAATCTGATAATGGTGAGATCGAGAAAATTGATTGACATGGATGATTCTAGTTCCATGGTGAACATGATATTGGGGTGAATTTGGTTAATTTTAGAAAGTAATAGTCCAGCTGAATTGAAGTTACCTAAAATGAAGACTAAACAGTCGTCTACATAGCGAAACCAATAGACTATTTCAGTATTTTTCATGATCTGTGTGAATTCTAAATAATCCATAAATATATCAGCTAATAGAGGGGAGAGATAGCTGCCCATGGCTAAGCCATCAGGTTGTCTATAATATTTGTTGTTAAAAATAAAGAAATCTTGATATAAGCAAAGTTGTAATAGTTGGATAATGGAGTTTGTGGTAGATGAGGTAATGGAGTTGGCTCTTAGAAGAGAGTGAACCAGATTAATTGTTTCTTGTTTAGCGGCAGAGGTGAATAGATTGCTAAAATCAAATGAAAGCATAGTAATGTTGGGGTAAAGATTAATGTGTTGTAGGTTATTGACTAGATGACTAGTATTTTTAACTGAGAATCGAGGAGTAAAGTTCGTCATGTTGTTAATAAGATTCAATATAAATTTTGATAGGATAGAAACTGGAGTGTTTATGAACTAACAACTGGACGAATACGAATGCCCTCCTTGTGTCTCTTAGGTAAACCATACAGTCTGGGTGTCAAAGGGTTGCTTGGAATTTTGTAATATGGTGCAAAATGTTCTGAGAAAAGTCTGTAAGATGTTTGATGTTTTCTTTTAATTTATTTATAAACTTTTTAAAGTGGTCTGTTGTAATTAAAGTGAAGTTATTATTATTGAGGAAAGTGAAGACTTTATTATTATATTAAGTTTCATCTAAAATCACTAGGGAGTTACCTTTGTCAGCTTTGCTGATAATTAAATTGTTGGATTTGATTTTGTTCTTGATGGATTTGAGAGTATTAAGTCGTTCATTACGTTTGTTTTGAGAAAGTTTAGGAAAATTAGGTGTGAAATGAATATTTTGGTCGGTGGAAGAAAAGTTAATGATGAAGGGGTGTTGGTATTAAGTACTGTTGAAGAATTAAAAGAATTTTTGTTTTTGAATTTGTTTATAGTAGTAAAACAGGAGTTTCTGATTAAGTTTTTTTTATTTAAATGAACAGAGAGATTTTGAATGATGATATTTAGCTCAATAGAGAGGCTCTAAAGATCTTTTTCAGAGACCTTACGAAGGATGGAGTATTTGAGGGCTAGATTTAGTAGGTGAAATTAATTATTGTCGAAGGTAACTAAACAAAGATTTTTTGGGTGAATTTACTGTTGGTATTACTGTTACTATTTGATGAATTAGATTTATTTTTGATAAGATTGTTTAATTTTGATTTAAGTTGTTGAATTTGATAAAAGTTACGTTGTCCAATCTGTCCTAAATATCATTCAAAAAGTTATTTAGGTTAGGAAAACCCATGAAATCAAGTAGTGAGTCATACGTTGCCTTAAGTTTACAATCGATGTAGTTAAGCTTGCTATAATGTTTACAAATCTCCTTTTTTAAAATTTTAAGTTGGAAGGTGTCCTTTAAGGTGATTGGAACATTTGCTGGAGTTTTGATCTTACAAAAAGTAGGGAAGACCTGGTTGTTTATACATTGGGAGATGAACCAAATATCCAGCTTCAAAGTGCATCTTGTAGTGGCTAAGCGTATGTACTGAGGAGCCAAGTTGACCATACCGTCGAATTAAACTCCACAATGAAACTAAGTTCCTGTAGTATAAATTAAAAACCCAATCGGGCTATATAGAACAGGAGATATTACGACTTTTATAAATTTGAATTTATGAATTCAGTTTTTAAAATAGTAAAATCGCTTTGCTTTTAATCCTTTATCTTTGGCGCATTTGAACAGCTCGTTGAACTGCTCATTGTTTAAATCGTTTAAAATTAATTGTCTAAACTGGAACTTTAATCTTTCAAATGGTTCCTATTGCCTATCAAATTGCCAATTGTTTATAAAATAAAACTCCCTAGATGTTTGAAAAAAAAAAGGATTAACTCGGATTTTAAGGGTCGTAGGGCATTAGGTTTTTTTTTAATTCGTGTAAAAATGCCAACATGGCGAATAAAAATAATCTATCTGATAAGTTTTAAGGGTCGTAGGGTATTACGTTTTTTTATATCATGTAAAAATCCCAACATGGCGAATAAAAATAATCTATCTAATATATTATAAATAATTTATAAGCTTAAAATCACAGTACTTGCAAACATATTTAATGATTTAAAGTTAAATGATTTAATTTGGTAAAATAAGCCTTTTTCTTTAATTTGTCACTTTCAAAATGCAGGTGGACCCAATAGTTTACGCATAATAAAGTTGTGGATAAAAGCTATTTGGGATAAGCAATTTCAATTTTGCAATAACTAATTAAGTAAAACTTGAATTTTTTAAAGCTGAATATTTGAGATATTGTCCTTATTCCTACGTGAAATCAAGGTTGTTTGTTCATTTTTAGAAAAGGCATTATTAATTTTCAAAAAATCTACTTTTTGATCAAAGCTATCTTCGCAATAATAAACGAACATTTTAACAACCCTTACTTTAATAACCCTTATTTCCGTAAAAAGTATTTCCTATGCTCTTTCAGTAAAATTGTAATACTTTTCCATACAATTTACCGGTCTTTAAACCTTTACCTTTCACCTTTAGTATTTAAAATGATTTTACATTGTTTACAAGTAAAACATCACATTTATTATTTTGCATATTTTGTTTTTACATATTGTTATCACCAAATTTATCAGAAGCAGTTTTTAAATACCTGTATCAACGAGTGTCATGGGAAAATCTTTAGTTCCCTAATCTATGGGCCCGGCTTAGACAATGAATCCAAGCCAAGTTTAATCACCAATGCTTATAGCAAATTCTAAGAAGTACACAAGTAAGAAACCCTTAAAATCAATAAACCAAAACTGCTACACAATTTTAACATATTAGTGAAATTAATGTATATATAAAGTGAATATACAAAATTTCAGTGAAAGAGGAACAAATCTAAAAATTTCAATTTTTGGTAGAGAACTTTATTAGTCGAAATTTACTTTCACATAAGCATCTTGTGCAGTCTGTCTTAAAATGCTTGAAAAAAAAAAGATTGCTCGTCGAATGGGAGAAGTAATAAGGAAAGTGATTTTCTTCCTGGACCGGGAAGTAAAAGAAAATAACCTCTAAATAATAAATAAGATCGTGTACATGATACATCGTTGTTCTTCAGAATGTTTTCCGGGTCTTTCTTCCACGCAAACAGACAAAATCTCAGACTTATTTCTATATTTGACAGGCTGTATGTTTTTAATTTTCCAGTGCTATTCCGATGCTGGCTTCTAGTTAAATAAAAGCAATCAAAGTATAAAAATGTCTTTCATATTTACACAACCTACGATTGTAGAGAATTGCAAACACAACGATTTTAATTTTCGTATTAAGGAAGCACTTAAGATCCAGACATCCAGACATTAACAGTCCAAACTAAGAGCTTTAAATATTTTAAATTGTAAAATTACTCTGTACGATTCTGTGACTTTAAAAAATAAATAATATATGTATGAAAGTCTGATTTATGATTATAAATCTTAACATGTAATGTTTCTAAAACTTACCTAGCGTTTTCTAGAAACTCATTATAAATTTTCTTTGGTATTTGACCAGTTTTTTCAGTTTTATCGACATACATATCCGTTTCTCTGTTGTACAGGTACAAGAAGTCATTTAATTGTTTAGCTATAACAGCTGCTCTATCTTTGTAATCGAGTTTCTGACTTGGCGTCTGAAAATAAAAATAAGTAATTCCAAATCAACACCACTGAATTGTATATTTCCTTTGAGTTAATATGGAAAAAAAATCATGGATGTCTCAATTCTCCCGTGAAATACCTGTTCAATGATTATAAAACCCCTATAAAAGCACACTTCAACGTAATTTTTCGTCCCTCGTCCACAAACTACCACTGCTTCTGAAATATGAAAGAGGGGGCAACGAATATAAACGCATATATGCATCTATATTCGTTGGAGTGGGGCTGGGAATGCTTAATCCTAAACTTTTGCATTTTATAAAATTAGCGATCAAATTCTACTCATTCAATATTTTAACTTTTAATAATTTTTAAAACTGATTTTTTTAAAACTATAACCAATATTGTGATTCATTCAACGTTTGTCATTTTTAATTTAAATTTGTAGAAATGTGCAAACAATATAACAAAGTTTATGCAGTCGCCATCTACAGGAGTATTTTGAAGTATACTAACCGTGGCCATTTCCCCATTTGAAATGTGCTTCTATATGCGTCTATTCATATTCACTGACCTGTCTAATGATGTGCCACACATGATCTATTCCCTATTTCAAATCTAAGATGCAATTATCAGGTATAAGGTATAAATTTGGGGCGATGCATTAGCTGAGGCAACACCTGCAGTGTGGGCGAGTTGTGTTAACCATACTGAAAAATTAATTCAGGACGACTGGGCAAAAATGGTCACATATGATGAAAATGAATAATTGTAATAGTTTAGAATAAAAGAATTTAGAAAATTGTAATAGTTTAGAATTCGCTACAGTGCTTAAAACTTAAAAAATCTGTATCATTTTTAATTAAAGTGGGTTATATAATTAACACTTTTTTGGGTGTATTTCAAAATCCTTTTAAAATGTACTTTTCGTTATATCCTCTCCTATTGTACTGCAAGCTAGAAAAATAGTTCTTCGCAATTTATACGTATATTCCGTTATTAGAAATTTAATGAAAAATAATTTATAATTTTCTTTTATAACTATTATTTCGTTTGACATGTTACATTTTGCTCCGGCACTGGAGGAGGTAAACGAATCGAGCTTAGACAAGGAAAGACAGATGAAACAACTTATTGCAAGTATTTTTACACGCACACGCCAAGAACGATGAAAACGATTATAACACATTTTTTTAATCTTATACGAGGTGCTCAAAAAACATGAATTTTGAAAACGAAAAAATTTCAATTAGAAGGATCTAATTACATATTCAAACATAGTTTTTATGCCTAAACAACTTTTTTTAATAACAATTTTCAATATTGTGAAAAATAAAGGTACTGTTTGAGTGAAATTCATATTTTTTGACATGCCTAGTATAAAACTAATAAAATTTGCTATCTGATGGTTGCATCTTAGGTTTTAGACCATGCAGAGCTTTTTATAAAGAATACCGTAAAATTAATAATAAAAGAGTTATCATATTTGTAATAAATAAGAATGATGATGGGTATCGGTAATTTGAGAAAAATTTGTCATTTTTTTTTTCAATATGAAGGATGTAATTACGTATTAAAACATAATTTTTAATTCCAAACAACTTTTGGTAATACCAATATTCGATATTGTGAAATATAATTGATTTGAATACATTTATTGAATTTTAAATAAAATAATATCTACAATTAATCAACTTACACGAAATTAAAACACTATGATAATTGCAAATTAAAACTACCCAGATTAACATCTAACTTAATTACATATTTAGTACACACCTTAACGTTGAACGGAGTTCTCAAATAATTTGATGCTTTTTGCATAAATTTCAAGACAATCTCGACGTGGTCATCTTGATCTGGTCCTTTAACAATTCTTCGTAATATGCAGCCCAAATAATGGCTAAATGTTTTTCTAGCCTGCCATTGCCTACAAATAAATATATGTAGATAAATATTTGACAAAACACTTTAAAATTTTTTGTTTTTCTAAAATCTACGAACATTCCAATTGAATTAAAATTTCCGAATTCAATTTTGCCTAGTCCTTCATCATACCTACATTAATAATAAAATAAAAAAACTATGATCCACGTGTATACATAAATTATAGATTATTTGAAAAGGTCTTGGCGTCAAAAACAGCCGAATTGTCGCAATAAAAGAGATGAACACGTCTGTTTACCCTTAACAAGGGGTTATCTCCCATAAAACAGCAGACAGTTCCGTCCATTAATTCCGCCAAATCACTTAAAATCCGAAAAACGAGACCGCAAACCAAATCCAAGCCCTGAAGATGACTCCCAGATGAAGAAGCCGCCGTTAAAATCAAAACAGTCCAGCCTTGGAAGTGAGTAAGTTAATACTAATTTTTATATCACACACGCCACAAAATCAGGCGAAAATTGTCCAAATCATGTATAAAATTCTAAGTTTAATTTTGGCTTTGAATTGGAATTCTGACTCAAATTAGCCAATTGATGAGTAATACAGTGAGAGATACGGTCCTATTGCTTGTTAAGACTCGATCATTAATCCCTACTGGATGGCGAGAGATACTAGAAAATAATACCATAATATATAGAAAATAAAAAATTGTTGCATAAAAGAGCTAACTTACGTTATGCGTTTTCCAGTCTGCAACATCTCAATTATTTTCTTTTTCATATCTAGGCATTGCGTTTCTCTAGCAGTTTTACAGGGGGCTAGTGATGACTTATGTCCTTGACTTAACATTCGCTCGTACCTGTCTTGTCTGGTGTTCAAGTTCTTGTAAGTTGCTGCAAAAAATAAAATAGACATGTATTAAAAAAATGGAATGTCTGATTACTATTAGATTTTGTAGCTAATTTTTTAAATTTAAATTTTTTAAAAACATTTTATTTTTACCTACTTTTAACAAAAATCACTGGTTTGTTAGCAGTTTCAGGTTAGATATGCTCAGGTTAACTTTCGTTAGGTTAGGTTTGGTTGGGTTAAGTTAGGTTTAGTTAAGTTAGATTAGATTAAAATTTTTCAAATCAAATTTTTAGGTCTTTTTAAAAGTGGCAACAGTGTCGAATGCACATAAAATTTTACTTAATGTGCATATCAGCCATATTTTTTTAAAAGATTAGCAGCATTACATTTTCTAAGCTGATCTATTTTGTTTACTATTTATTATTGAAATAGAAAAAGCAATTAGAGGTATGAAAAGAAATAAGGTTACGGGAGACGATGAAATTCTAATTGAAATGTTAAAAGAACGAGGGGAAAAGATAAAAGACTACCTAAAGATACTTTTCAATAAATTTTTGTTTGAAGGACAAATACCGCAAGAGTGGAACAAGGCAAATAAAATTCTGATATATAAGAAAGGAAATAGATCAAAATTAGCTAACTATAGACCAATATCTCTCTTGTCACAAATCTATAAAACTTTCACTAACGTGATCACAACTAGACTAATCAACAAATTTGATGCATACCAACCAGTTGAGCAGGCAGGATTTAGAAAGGGGGTACAGCACAACCAACCCCCTTCACACTCTTACAATATTTGTAGAAAAGACCAACGAATACGTTGGGCTGCATTCGGAATCCTCTCAGATACTATCAAAAACCAAAAAATACCTTTAAAATTAAGAACGAAGATATTTAATGCATGCGTCCTATCTGTTCTGACATATAGTGCCCAGACGTGGACGTGTAGCAAGAGCAACTTAGAATAAAGAAAACTCAAAGAGCTATGGAAAGACAAATGTTGGGAATATTGTTGAGAGATAAAAAGAGAAATGAGTTGATAAGATGAAAAACCGAAACAACAGACGCTGTCGAACATGCATTGAAATTAAAATGGAAATGAGCTGGGCATAACGAAATATATCAGGATGGAAGACGGAATAAAGAAATGGACCGCTGGAGACCATATACTGCAAAAAGGTCAAGATGTCGACCGCAAATGAGATGAAACGATGACATTGAGCAAAGCGCAGGTCCAATGTGAAAAAGACAAACAGAAGACAGAGACAAATGGAGACAAATGGGACAGGCCTATATTCAACACATGAATAGATTTTGGGATATACATAGATAGATAGATTTTGTTTACAACAAGATGACAGATGTGTCGCCAAGTTTAAAGTGTTACAAGTAACAAACACCTATCAGTGGGATTTACTGTTGATTCACAAAAGAGTGCAAAACTAATGTGTATTATACCCGAATTATCATCAAATAAAGATTTGACGCCATTCAAATTAGCACGAAATTTAAAAATTAAACATAAGAGCACATAACAATCACTGTATTTTTTTAAACAGCAGCATTTTGTAATGAAATATGTAAAAACATTATCTTTAGATGTACTTACCTTTATGACTATCAACAGACAGGTCACGTTTGACAATTGTTTGTCTAGAACGACTTTGAAGCCTGTCACTTGTGTTTGTTGCGACTGGAATGTCCGGATAGAAATGCGTATAAATCAACATATTAAAATTGTGCTGACTACTTAAACAAAAGTTAGTTCCAGGATTTCCAGATTGAGTATTCCAGTAGTCCTATCTGAAAAAAAAAAACATTATAAATCAGACCAGGGAAATCAAATACTTTATGGGACTACTTTCAAGGAATTTCACTACTATACTATAACAATTTTCAATTAAAGGTGACATGTGGAAAACTCAAGTTTGATTTGACTTTTTTTATGCTGATACGCGATAAATTGCAGAAAAAGAAATACAGGTCAGAAGTCTGTAAACGGCTAAATTTCTCAGGACATACGCTTCTGAACACAAAATTAATATTTTTGAAAAGGCTATCTAATGATACGACATTAGACCATTTAGGTGGAGATCTAATTGGAAAAAGAACTCTTTAGCGCAAGTGAAAGTATTTCTACAGGTAATATCAGATTAAGATTTTTCGTTGATTTTGTATCTACTGAGGATTTTCCATAAATGATAATAAAACTTTTAACGCGTTGGTCTTCCTAATTTAGCTCCATCATTTACAGAGATTTAATAAGATTTTACAACATCTTCTAAGCATTCTCTTCACAATTCGACCAGCATTAGAAAATTTGGTAAGGTTTTACGAAATCTGAAAATATATGACCACAGAGAAAGAATTTCTCGTCTTTAAGATCACTTTGTAGCTTTAATTACATAGTTTCTAAGAGTAACACAATACAGAGTAATAACTTGATACGTTAAAAGATATGTGTTTAAATTTTCATTGCCAATTTCAAACAGGGGCAAACGTTGTTAAGTCTAGGTAATCCTAGTAGTTGGCAACAATAGCATGTGACATGGAAAACTGGTATTATATTGTAACATGTTTTTTTATGACAATGTTTCATTTGATACTTTTTGCATTAAAAATATATTTGCTCTATTTCTGTTTTATTTTTTTCAAGAGAGCCAATGATTTTATAGGGAAATAAAGTGATAAGTCCTTCTTTACAGGAGAAAAACTTGTTATGTCCATATAGACGAATAGAAAACAATATATATCATTAATATGCGATATAAATTAAAAAAAAAATAAACATAAACCAACATCCAATATAGCAAATTTTTATCTTTTTATTACTGATTAATGGTAAGATGTATTTTAACATAATCACAGAGTTTTAAACTTAAAAATGTTCTCCTGAACAAAACCAAAAATGTGACTTATCAAGTTAATTTTCTGTGGTCTTCATATATGTAAAAAACAATTTTTCTTTTCTATTTATTTTTTTCCCTTTATCCATTCCTTTTCTATTTTTATTTATTTTGATACTTTTAACTACAGTGCTTTATAAAATATTTTAAAAATACACATACATACATTACTTAGCCGTTCATCAATATACCGTTTAGGTTGTGTAATTCCTTTCAAATTATGTCGAAAATAAAGATCCCAATAATGCTATTTATATTTAATAAAATTCTAACTTACTTATTATACTTACCTAAATACTGTGAATACTTCATCCAACTATCAGCAGATGGAAATATTCTCACGAAGCCACCTCTTCTTTTAAACTCTGCAGAAGCAAGACGAATGATTTTAGACTCTTCTGCTGTGTATGGAGATGGTCCTCTTCCTACAGTATGTGCTCCTTTCTTTAATGAGGAGTTGCTATTACCCAATCCATCAGCAGAATGTACTCTTCTACACTAGAATAAACCGTTTATCTTTGCTACGAATGTTAATAATTAAATGCATTGTTTAAACAGTCATTACAAAATAAAAAAAAATAAAAATTTTAAGAATATGGTAAAAACCAATAAGATGCTACCCATAAATCTACGCTATAGACAGTATATAATACACCAAGTGACATAGACATCGGAACACCAATTAAAATTTTAAATTATTATATTTTGAAAATATTTTGTACAATTATACAGGGTAGCAAAATAAACAAACAACTAAAAAAATGAAACAACATACACGGGTAAATCAATTACATATTACTGTATTGATGTACTGTACCTCGGTGTACAATAAACTTTTGGATTCGCTTGAGCTCGATTCTGATTAGGTGGACAATATCTTCTTGAGGTATTTTGTTGCATGTCCTAATTAACTCCACCCAATGTGCTCCCAAAGTTTGAGAAGGATGCTCTAAATTAAATCTAAATACAACCTAATCAATTCCTGGTCCCATGCCAATCGTTCTCTTTATTATCCAAGACGATTAAGTCGATGCCTAAGGGTAAGAGGTAGCATCCAATGTATCATCATCATCATCACATAGCGCTTCAACCCTGGGTGGGTCTTGGCCGACTGTACAACTTTTTTCCAATTTGTTCGGTCTTCCATCAACCTAGGGTCAAATGGAATGTTCATTTTCCGGAGATCTGCTTGGATGTTATCTCTCAGTTTCACAAGTCTTTCGTTATGCAACAGTGTATACGAAATGAAAATCAGCCAAAATTGCGAACACATTGTCTAAACTCCTGTGATCTATATTCGCAATTTCCCAAAAAGAAAGTCCGTTATTGTATGACATTATTGTTTCTAAAGTCTCTAAACTGTCAGTAACAACTACTACGTAGTCAGTGTGCTTAATGTTATTTTAACGCACTCTGTTGACTAATATGCATCCCTCTTTTTCTTCCAGCGCTTGAGAAGATATACATTCAGAGTATATATTGAATAACATTGGGATCAGCATGCACCCTTGTGTCACCCCTCTATCTATCGAGATTGACTCAGTCAACCGGTGATCCACTTGAATGTTGGTAGGTTCATTATAGTAGTTATGAAGACACTACAGCTGAAGTTTTTTAAACTTCAGGTTAAAGGGTGGTTTAAACGTAAGTTTTTATTACAGATACATACTTTTATAAAAGAAACTTAAAGTAACTTCGTTGTCTTAATGGTGAATGTTAGGGGAATGAATGGATGTTGACCTCTCCGTGACCGCAACTATCTGCCGCAACTTGTGGGTTGAAAACGAAGACACTGAACGTGTGTACAAAAGTGCTCGAATGTTTTAACAAGTTTCTAAAGTTATATCCGTCTTAAATTTGTTACACCACAAATAGACAACAATATAAATATTTTTCTCTTTATATATCTCGAAGTATCTTTACATATTTACTTTTTTGACTCTTCCATGGTTTTTTAAAAGCAAAACAATATTTTCTGAACAAATAAATTTAAAAAATTAACGCAAGATTCAAAAAATATGTCTTTCTTAATATTTATCAAATAACCAATATATAAAACAATGCACCTAGATAGATTCAATAAGGTGGCTTTTGCTCCAATCCACTGCAACCTTTCAGATCTGTTATGGTCATATAATCCTAGATTTCATTCTCTTGCCTGAACCTTTTTAAAACGTCCAATATCTTCGAGATGGAACCTTCCATGCAGCTCTTTGTTGGTGGTTTTTCTTCGACTAATATAAAGAACCGCACAATTGCCAGGCTGTTGCACTGACACAAAATGAGCTCTGCTGTTTCTTCCTCTGTGTGACAGAATCTGTATAGACCATAATCTGTCAATCCGATCAGCTTTAACTGTCTATTCAGTTTACAGTGCCCTGTTAACAGACCTGCTACGGTTTTGACTGTGGTCTTGTCTTCAGGTCTGGTGTAAATTTTGGCGAATGTTCTATAATAAACTGTTTCACCTATCTTTGTCCTGGTGAATTCCTCCACTATTCCAGAGATTTGTCTGCTACCCACTTTCTTGTAGCTGTTCTTGTTGCTGCCTTTACAACGCCGCAGAATGGTTCCAGTCCAACGAATGGCAACAATGCACCTAACAAGTGACTTATAAGTTTACGATATATTTATATTTTAATAACCTCTATATCCTGGTTTTAAAGCATGCCCACTCTTCCGATGGGGATCTATGCAAAAGTAACACCGTAACATCTCTTGGCGTACAGCTCATCCATGTGTTGATCCAATACACCAGCGTATTCCATTCCATGTAGCAGGTTCGTTTAAAGTCAGTAGTGTATCGTCCGCTCGATAGTTCAGAAGTGAAGTAAATGCGATTCGGTCACCAGGCTATCTGACTGACAAACGGATAAGTAAAGATGTTATATTTCCGAAGAGATGTTATATTCTATTTAAATGTACTGAAGCCATTTTAAACCGTAGGTATTGAATGAAAGATTCCAAGATTTTTATTTTCATGGTATCATATATAGCAAACAGTACAAATATAGTATTTTTCACAGTAAGATCCTTGTACGTCACGATTTATTCAAACAATTTCCATAAAATCAACATTAAGAGTTCAAAATTCCCTAACACAGCTAATAATACGACACCCATACGGAACTGCTAGATCTTTCATAGGCGTCAACATGGTAAAATAATAAGAAACATGTGATCGTGATTATACTGAGAATTTTAGAATTATATTGATTAAATAACCAAAAACATTTTTTATTATTAATAATATAAATTTTCTGAAATAACTGTTTAAGTTTAATGCTCCACAAGATAATAATTTGAATTACACAGATTAGACAATCGTAAGCCATTACTTACTTGAATGACAGTTCAACGTTTAGCAAAATTGTTAACTTTTGCTTAAACGTTTCGGCAAATTTGCCATTTTTAATAAGCCTTTATTTTATTTTATAAACATTACATTTTACAGTTAAATTTCATGTTTACACTTTTTTAAAAAGTGTTGTGTAAAAAGTTAAAATAACTTAAAAAAAATAGTAGTCTATACTGCGACACCAACTATTAGCTTTTGGTGCATTCTTCAGTTGCTTCTGGAGGGCCTCTCCATCCTTTCATAATGCAATTCGACTGGATTTCTTCCGAATGTTATCCTACCCTTTCCTGAAATCTTATAAATCAGTTGAGCCTTCTGTCCATTTTACATTATCGCAATTTTATCAATTTATTTCACAATACTCATCCTTTCTTTTATATACTACTTTCTATTTGCTTTTTATCACACAGGCTTCCTTGTCCTTTTTCTCCTTTTTAATGTCACACTGAATTCTCCTTAACTTACATGTAGTATTACTCATAAAAAAAGTTGTTGATTTATTTAGTGCCTTACTAACTAGTGGAGTTTTAAAATGTATTTAAAATTATGCATTTGTGTGTCAATTTTGAAAATGTGAAGATCTGCCTTTTACTGTCCCAAAGCCCTTTTTACTAATCCTAAAAGTTTAAACAGTATACTAAGGTACGAAACTTACGTGAGTCAAATTGGATCTAATACTTGAATTTGATTTGTGATGATCATCATTAATTCTAACCATGGGATCAACGGCAGGTATTCCCACTAGGGATAACAGATCAGCCAACATGGCGGATTTTAACCTTACATCTAATGGACTGTCGCAATTTAATGAAGGTGATAAATTAACTTCTAACAACCACGGTTTAAGTGTTTTATCTATCAAAATATCGAAGCCATACAGTTCTGAAAAAGTGATATCCAATTAAATTATAAAATTTTCGTTTATGGATATATTATGTATATTTTCTAGTTATAGTTTATTTTTATGAACGAGAGAGTAATTAGCATAATTTTAACTGGTACCTTCGACCACTCCATGGGCGTGCTCAAGATTAATTGAAAAATTACTTTGAATAATTGTAAAAAATAAATGAATTATTTCAGTGTTATAAAGTGTTATGTGTATGTAAACAAAAGTGACCTCTTTTATCATACACTATATTAGAACTGACTGGCCTACATTAAAAAGGGTTTCAAAAAATTCACATTTTTTTTTAATTTTTAAAAATTACAATTTTTATTTAAAAAAAATTTAATTTTAAAACCGTCTAAGGTATGTTAAATAGATGAATAAAAATATTAATATAAAACTTACAGCTACTTGTTACAAATCCAAATCAGATTCAGAAGATGAACTTTCAGAGAAAGATTTATAATAACTAGCTCGATCATTTTATCAGTAATATTGTCCAGCTTCCACATTTTTTCCTCTTCTTTAATAGTGTGATTTACTGCTTTTTCCCAGTTTTCAGGTTTTACATTATTTACGGCCTCCAAAAACAACTGTTTAACATCATGAATTTAAAAAGTGGTATTTTATCTTGAAACTTCACTCTTTATCTGTGCCCATACCAGTTCAATCGGGTTTAATTCACAATGATATGGTGGGGATCTAAGTACTGTCATTCCACGATTTTTGGCAATTTCATCAATTTCGTATTTTTTAAATTTTTCTTTATGAAGGGCACACAACGAATAAAGTTCCTTTCTTATAGATCCGGGATGGTACGTAATATTTTTTGAACTCAGCCAATTCTGCAAGTCTTTTTTTAACCACTTGGTTGTAGGCAGTCCTTCTATAAGTCTGGAGTGATAACTTGCATTATCCATTACTATTACACAGTTCTTAGAAAGAAGATATATCATTTGTTCGAACCATTCTTGAAAGACATCAGCGTCCACGTCTTCATGGTAGTCACCGGTACGAGTTTATTCAAAAGTTAATAAACCACCTTCAACAAAACCGTCTGAACTGCCAATGTATACTATTATCTGCCTGCGTCCCTTTCCTGATGGTGGGTTTAAACCAGTAGATAAGTTATTTACAAAAGCGTGCCTTTGACTTGTAACAGTTTCATCCTGCCAAAATTTATTTGGTGTATGACCCTCGTTGATCCATGTTTCATCAAGATAAAATATTTTTCTTTTTTGGTTTCTCATTTCCTTTATGGTTCTTAGAAAATGTCTTCTCCATATGACAATATCGCTTCTTTCTAATAAAATAGACTTTCTGGGATTCTTTTTCCAGCGGAAGCCTATTTCTTTTAAAAGTTTCCATAACGTACTTCGACTCATTTTTGGGTAATCCTTATCATCTCGAACTGAGACAAGAACGTTATCCAATGTTGGAAATTCTTGTCTAAAGAAGAATTCATGCACTTTCCGTCGAAGTCCTTCTTTAAAATGATATTCTATTTGAAATTTTGGTTTCCCTGGAGCATTACGTGGCATTTGAAAACTACCACATTTCTCTTCTTTAATAACTCTGTAAATCGTAGATTTCCCAACACCAAGTGTACTGCTAACTAACTCAACGGTCTCATCAACACTTTCACATAAACGTTTGTCTGTAAATGATTTAAAACAATTAAATATTAATGTTTTTTCATTAACTGTTAAAGGACCAATTTTTCGGCGTTTACACGGCACTTCCAAATTTTCCATAACACTAGTATACACAATAAACTGCACCTTGCAACTGAAGTACCTACTTTTAGTAAACTGTTAAGAATTTTGAATACGCCACTTGGACCTTCCTACAAAATGGAAAAACCCACTATCACATTTTCTGTGGAATAAGTTTAGAAGGTAATTATCTAGTCAATTACTGTCGTAGATTTCTGGAATTAAAGAATTAAATGTTTGATTGTTGAAACCCTTACTTCGTGGAATGCACTCATTTCAGATAAAATAAAACGTTTTATTTTATCTAAAGAATTAAATTTTATTTTGCAAATAGGTAGGTACTTATTAAACTTTTATTGGTTATATATAATCAATTAAATAAACATCTTACATTTCTTGCAAATTCATTAGTACCTGTTAACCTCCATCACTCCGACACTGGCAACCTTATTAAGGGATTAGTAACCCTCACAACTATTGTATTCTATTCTGCTCCAACCTTTATACCTGGTGGTCATACTCAATTTAAAATTGTTTTCCTATACTTCTGTAAACTTGTTGACAAATATCTGTTTTTCATTGAGTCACCCGTATCAACAGTTTAGGGATTTGCATACATAATTTATTGTTTTATTACTCTCTCATACATAAAAATACACTATAATGTAAGTGAACGAAAAGCCAGGATTTAGCAAATTTCTTTTTGGTTGTTAAAAATAAATAAAAATCCATGACGTTTTTAATAAGTAGTAATAAAAATGCCATATTATTAATATGGAAACTTATAAAAGCATGTAGATTATGATTTGTTTATGGCGTCACCATACACTGCCAATTCCATAGGTGGGTCAACTAGCACGGGAAGGGGTTCGGATGCATATAATAACTACCATTTATAGTCACTTTTTACATTAAAATAATATATTCATTTACTTACCGAAGCAATTGTTGGTAAAGGGAATAAACATTTTACAAGCTGATATCACAGAATTAGCACACGCCAAGATTGCTTTAATAATCATATCCTCAATTTGAGACATCAATAGCGCCGTATCTTTACCTTCAGATTTCAAATGTCTTAATAAAGCACTTAGAGTCCATTTATGACCAACATTTTCGGCTGAAGGATCATCCGATCTAAATTTCGAGAATAAATGAATTAAGAGAAAAATTAGTATTATCTAGGTTTATGTAGAATTATTAATTATACATACTATAAGTTGCTCAATGCAAATACATTTAGAAGTTGAATGAAATGTTTTATTTGACAAATTTAAAAGTAATCTGCATTAAAACATCATTTCACAAATCTCTATCTACTACTACTAAGGACTTTCAATAGTTTTCACTATATCTCTTCCCTCAGCCGATCTTTAGAGTTCTTTCTATTCTGGGTAATAGGTCCGTAATAGACCAGATATTCATGTCACGTCAATAATGAATTCAATATTAATATTTTTTAGTTTGTTGATATTTCAAATAGGACCAGAAAAAGGAAGATATTGAGGCAGCAGCGAAAGATGAAATAGGAACATGAATTTGTGACCGTAAAACTCATTGGTTTGACGATGAAGGCAAGAATGCAACGAAAGAAAAAATGAGGCCTACAGAAAGATGCTTACTCGACGAACTAGAACAACTGTAGAAAATTACCAGACAAAGGAAAGAGAAGAAAAGAGAGTACACAAAAGAATGGCAAGAAAAGGGTCCAGTTAACGAATTTTCTACGATACAGGAATTCTTAGCATTTATAGATCATAAAGTACAACACTTACAAAATTCAGAAGGGGATAAACAAGATATAGAGCAAATATCAAAGGAAACAAAAAAAAGGGTGCAAAAAATGACATTATCAAAGTCATTCATTGCAACGTCCAAACAATGTGCACTTTGTAATTTACCGCACTATTTTTATTCATGTAAAAAATTTCATAATTTATCAGTGTCAGCTAGAAGACAAGAGGTAACAAAATCAAAAGCATGTTGGAACTGTCTAAAGGATGGACACTTAGTACAACATTGTACATGGGGAGGTTGTAAACTTTGTGGAAAACGACACAATACTCTTTTACATATGGATGGTAAATGTATAAACAATTCTCATTTACAAACAAATGCAACTCAACTCAACGGATCAAAGGTTGAATCACAAATTTGTGGTATATCTACCCAGAAAGAAACACACACACAGGGAAATGGCATATCTAATCAGGGAAAGGAAGTAATATTCAGGACAAGGTGCATTCCATAATAATTCAATGGAAGGTACATCTCAATTAAACTTTTTGGGTCAGACAGGTTTTTTGGAATCACATTCGGGTGATATAGGTCAGACATGTTTTTTGGAATCACATTCGGGTGATATAGGCAACATGTTTTTAAATCACATCGGTGATATAGTCAGGATTCAATTAATTTTTAAATCATTCTAAGCAAGGTATATCATACAGATTAAAAACTGATATTTTACTTTCAACGGCCTTAGTATATATGCAAGACAAATATGGAATTTTGCATGAATGTAGAGTTTTATTGGACTCAGGTTCACAGTCAAATTTTATATCACGTTCATTTTTTGAAAAATTACAATTACAGGCAGATAAGGTACACATTCCGGTTAAAGGTTTAGGTCAAGGTATAACAAACATTTCTCAGGCATTAAATGGGACACTTTTATCAAAGTTTAGCAATTATCAAACAAATGCATTTTTATTGGTAATTGATAAAATTTCTGACAATTTACCAACTTCGGATTTAAACTTGGATTTATAAATATTCCTAAAAACATTGTACTTGCAGATGAAACATTGGGTTTCAAAACAAATTGATGTATTACTGGGAGCATCAGTTTTTTGGCAATTATTATGTGTGGGTCAGATAAAACATGGCAAAGATAAACCAATTCTCCAAAAAACTAAGTTGGGATGGGTTATTTCAGGGCCAGTTAGTCAATCACTTAAGGTTAGCAACAATTCAGTGGTATGTAATTTTTCGTCTAATGTTTTGGAAAACCAAATTGAAAAATTTTGGTTAATAGAAGAATTTGGTGCAAAAAAGGTTATGTCCAAGGAGGACATTTATTGTCAAGAGTTGTTTGAAGCTAGCACGATTAAAAATGAAAACGGTCATTTTGTTGTTAAATTACCAACAAGGTCAAACATTTCTGACTTAGGAGATTCTTATAGTAATGCACTAAAAAGATTTCAATTATTGGAAAATAAATTAAATAAAAATTTGGAAATGAAAATTAAATACCATGAGTTTATGCAGGAATATATCCAGTTGGGTCACATGTCAAAGGTTGAAGATAAAACTGACTTCAATTCAGAAACACCCAACTACTATCTTCCACATCATGGAGTTTTAAAGGAAACGTCTTTAACTACAAAATTAAGGGTAGTATTTGATGGGTCAGCTAGAACTGACAGTGGTTTGTCATTAAATGATGTTCTAATGGTCGGACCAAAATTACAAGATGATTTAATGGTATTATGACCACGATACCATAATGGTATTACAGCAGCATATAAAAGAAATATGGACACAGAAATCCATGCCCAATGATTGGAATATTGTAATACTTTGCTTAACAACAAAGGAGATATCTTTGACCAAAGAGGTTAACTATAGACCAAATACATATGTTAAGAGGTATACATGAAAAATGTGTTGAACATACTTATTTACAACTTGTATATCGATTTCAAACAGGCGTTTGATGGAGTAGATCAACAAAAGATGTTAAAGCAACTATCTATGTTAGGGATACCCAATAAGTTGGTTAAACTTATATGAATGACTCTCGAGAGTCACTAATTATACTTGGCTTATCATCATCAAAGGCGATGGATAGGGACGACTGGAGAGAAATTCTTGAGGAGGCTAGGACCCATACAGGGTTGTAAGCCAGAATGATGATGATATTTCAAATAAGGGTATAACGGCGTTCTAAGCAGTTAATTAACGTAATAACGTTAAAACCTGCAGAAGACGATATAAATTTAAGATCTGTAAGAAATATGTATAAAGAAGGGATCCCCTATTATCGCTGCTTGTGGAAAATAAGAGTAAGGGTAGACCGAACTTAAGGTGGAAGAATTGGCCACAGGTTTATTAGACAGATGAGCGACTGGCGAAATAGACTAGGGAATTTCAACTAAAGCTATCATAGTACTGATGATGAATGTGATGCCACGACATGTTTATAACGGTTAGCTTGGGTCTAAAGAAACTGAAGCATGCTATTATCGCTTTAGTTCATAGTAACTTATTCTTATTGTTTTAAATTTAATTACTTAGTTATAAACATTCCAGGTTAGTTATTGTTTTACTTTTATTGTCAAATGGTAATCGCTATAATAATCACTTTTATTTTCAAAGGCATATCAAGTTAGATCTACATCAAAGTTATAACAGAAAATTAATACTTACTTGACATAATCACTATGATATTTATTAATACTATAATTACATAGATGCATGCATGGGTTCCATAGCTGCTTGTGACTAGCATCATATTTAACAGTAGCAAATCTCACTAAACCTTCTTCATAAATATAAATTAGCAACGGATCAAAACTAGTTACCACTACATATAATCTCAGGTCGCATTTATGACCAGCTACTAAAAGAGGATTGGAAATATATTTGGCCACTACTACTGGTTCTTCTAGAGGCACTTGATTTGGAGTTTCAACGATAAAAATACCTAAAAAATTTACATTTCGTAAATCGATGAAAATTAACTAATCAATACTCATAAAAACCCCACACAAGCCAAGAAAGTTCAAATTAACCTTAAGACTTCCTCCAAAAACCGTGTTTTTTTTTTTATTAAATTTTATTATGGTACAAAAGATATTTGAAAATCTTTTTACAGGTGAAGGTACATACATTGTTTAAAATAATAACCATAGAATTTATTCATCATGTACATTTTCATTCTTATTTTATATTTATGTATTATATATTATCTCATTTTGATTATCATTATATTCTAAAATGAATCATGAATAATGAGAATGTATATGAATTAATTTTCATTAAAAACTTTCCATTTGTAAATACTTACGACTATAAAATTTCTAAAATAAAGATTTGTTTATTTTTTATTTGATTTAATTTTAGTTAATTTCATTTAATTTTTATTTTTAAATTTTATTTGATTTTGATAATTTTTATTTTAGTTTATATAATTTTATTTAATGGTATAATTTCATTTCATTTTTATAATTTTTTATTATTTTATTTAAAAATTGATTTCGTTATATTTATTTATACTTACTTTTATTTAATTTTATTAAATTTATTTATTTTAATTTCATTTCATTTAATTTCATTTGATTTTATTTAATTTCATTTACTTTTATTTTATTTATTTTTATTTCATTTTATTTTATTTTATGTCATACAAATATTTTTAGCTCAGTGGCTATGTAACTGTCTTAACAATCTGTAGGGCCCGGGTTCGAATCCCGTCACCAACAAAATTTTCAATTTCTAATTTAACTGAGCTGCCACCGTGCTTCAGAGGGCACGAAAAGCCGTTGGTCTCGGCTAGGAAAGTAGTCGTTAAGTCATGTTAGGGGCGCTTGCGCGAAATGAAAATCCTAACACTAGACCTTAGCCAGAAGGTTACACGAACTTTACTTTTTTTTTTAATATAAAATAACAAAATAGATCGTGTCGTTCTCGAGTAATTACAAAAAAAATATATTACAGCATACCGAGCGCAAAGAAGTATTCACTTCAAAAATATTTATACAAGGTACATACCTCTACCCCTGCTTGAGGCTACAGGTTTAACTATCCAAGGTCCTTTTACTCGATGATGTGTTGAACACAGATCACGGTACTCGATGGGCATGACGAATGTTTGTGGGATGAAATCAAAATTTTTCAGTCCTTTGGCATGCTGCATACGCTCTATATTCTTATACAGTCGATCTTTGCGGGTTAACTCATATGATCGAGGAAAATGGTTTACTCTTTGGTGTGGAGCTAATGACCTTATTGTACCTAAACATAATGAATAAGATAAGAAATAGTGGAAACTATTTAGGTTAGACTATATGTTTATAAATGTTTTTTGTAACAATTTTACACTAATTAGTAACTGTAGATATGCACAGACTATGAAAACTTGTACACCTACTTTAGCTCTTATTAGTTACTGCAGAAATATCACCCCGTTTCATTGCTGTAGGACTTTTGAGGTATTTGTAAATAGATAAAATTATAAATTATATTTATTTATGCCTGGAGCCTGGTGATTCCCAGCCCCTACATAGTGATTTTTAATAATTACTAAGAATTCACTATCTAAAACTATGTATGTTGTGGAATCTTTTCAAACTAGCCCTGTTGTTCACTAGCTCATTTTGGATATCAGAGTATGGTGGATTTAGGACACTCTCTCCTTCTACTTTCAGGACTGCTGTAGAACAGAGCAGGGTGATAAACCTAATTTTTACCTTTGTTTAAAAAGCAGTCAATCCAACCATATTTTCTTCTACGAATTTCAATACATATATCTTTGGCCTTAGTTATCTCCCACGTTTCACAAACTTATCACATGACTGATACTGGCCTCCCCCTGCATTCGCCTCCAAGCATCCCTTTCCTCCACATCTCTCCTCCAGGTATCCACTCTCAATATCTCTTTAGCATCGGTTCCAACTTCCTCTATACACTTCTTCCTTGATCTGCCTACTGGCCGACGTTCCACCATAGTTCAACTAAGCGTTCTACTAGGTGTTCTGTTATTATTAATTCTTATAAGGTGATCTGCCAAGCGCAATTTTTGTATTTTTGTATAATTTGCTATAGAGGGTTCTTTGTAATATTAATTGACCGCCATAGAGCAGTAATTCTAGGACAAAAAATGTTTGACGCCATCTTTAAAAGACATTAAGAATGAATAAAAAAAAAAAGAAAAATTTTGTAATACAGTAGAACCTCGATTAACCGAGGTAATTGGGACCGAGAGTACCTCGGATACAGCAAAACTCGGATAACACGAAACGTAACCTAAATATGGTACAATACTGTAATTGGTGTTATAAATGTCTCAATATACTTAAATAACGATATAAAACTAGTTATTTGTGACTTTTGTTCAGTTTATAAATACAAGAAACATTTAAAAAATTGTAAGAAACCAAATATGTAAATGTATTTATATAACATACCATATACAGTACGCTCAGAAATGTAGCAAAACAATAACGAAAGACGATTGTTGGGTTAACATAAAAATTGAGACAAACACACAATGTTTTGGTGTAAAACGCATTTAATAATATATAACCTTAAAACAGTTGAATCTCAAATATACTCTTGTGAATCAATTATCATGTTTAACAAAGAAGTCTTTGATTGTTTTTTTGAGAAGGTTATTGCTTCTTCTGCTGGCTTCGTTGTTACGCCATCGCCGCAGCCATAATAAATCATGAGTTGTAGCATCATCTTCCTGCTCAATATAGGCCAGTGCTGCCTCGATAGAGCGTAGACCATCTGTGTGAAAGATCCGATCACTAGGCTCATCACATTCCTCATTGTAAAAATAATTTAGCTTTTAGTGCTTTCAACAGGTGTATCAACATCAAGTGTATAAAATAAGTTTTGGTTTGTGAAATTAAAGTTTAATGAAGTGTAAAATGTGCACAAAAACTCTGTAAAAATATTCGACAGATTAATTTTACAGTACAATGGTTATTAATTTGGGAGGCAATAAAATAAAAAAACTTACTTATCATTTTCTGGCGTATTCAGGATTTCAACAATTATGTCGTCAGTCAGGGCTTGCTCCTCATCTTCGTTGATCCATTCTGCGATGTCGGCTGCGTTAATGGGCTCAGACACTGGGAGTTGATTGCCAAGAACCACAAGCTCTTCGATTTCAGAACTCGGTTGCTTCTTTAGAGCAGTTGCCCGTTCATCAATACCAAAAAGTTTACGACATGACCTTCTGATCGTGTCATCTCTAACGTTATCCCAGGCCTCTGAGCACCAGTAAACATCTTTCAGTATGATGAGTCTTAGAGCAAGTGACACTTATACCTTCCTCTAGTTTCTCCAGTATCATTTTTAGCAGTACCTTTTTGTAATTTCGTTTAAAAGTTTCAAGTACATCTTGATCAAGCGGCTGGATAAGGGAAGTAACATTAGGTAGTAAAAATATGGCTCTAATACCATTGCTCACTAGTTCATCATAATCTGGATGAGATGGAGCGTTGTCAAGAACAAGAATGGACTTGGGAGGAATATTTTTTTTCTTCAGGAAAGCTTCAACAATCGGAACAAAATCATCAAAAAACCAATTTTTGAAAATATGCGGGTCCATCCATGCATTTTTCTGATTCCTATATATGCTGGGAAATGTGTCCACATTAGTGTTTTTGAAAGCACGTGGTTTTTTAGGCTTACCAATTACGACTGGTTTTAATTTCAAACTTCCTGCAGCATTAGCACGTGCTAGAACTGTAACTCGATCTTTACATTTCTTATAACCAGAAGCTGATGTTTCCTTCCGACTAGGTAAGGTTTTACTCAGCAACATTCTAAAAATTCAGGCAGTTAAAGACTTGATCCGATGTAAGGTCCTCATTCAAAATCAATTTAGAATTTTTTTCTTGAAAAATAGGCAATTCAGTTACATTTGCTAAAAGTTTTACCACAGATATATTAGGTTGTCGAATTCCATATCGGTTCTTCCATCGCATTAACCACCCAGAAGTAGCGGTAAAGGGTTCATCACCATCACCAAACCTTTTTTGAAAAGCTAGCGCTTTTGCCTGTAAAATAGGTCCGCTCATTGGAATGCCCTTACTTCTCATTTCCGAAAACCATATAAATAATGCCTCATAGGTTTTTTCATATTTACACTTCTTTAAAGTTTTTCGCTCTGGATGGCAATCAGTAGTCAAGCTCTGAGCGCCCCATTTTTCTAACTCTGCCCTTTTCCTCCTCCAGTCACCTACGGTAACCTCACCAACATCCAAATCAGTAGCTACACTTTTAATTGATTCGCCCTTGTCAAGACGACGAATCGCGTTTAGTTTTATGTCTAAGGACACAACGACGCGCTTGCGCTTAGCACTCATTACACTTATTACACACACACACGCTATTAACAGTAGTAAAACAGATCACTGATCTACAAACACGCACTTGAAAGAGTAAACAAAGCACTACCACTCAGGGTTGCCACGTGAAAATTTTTGTCCTACCTAAATTGAACATTAAAATGTCCCTAGAAATCCCTAGATTGCAATAAATGTATATATGGTTGCCCAATTCTGAATAAAATGATGGGATGTATTGATGGTTGCCTAATGTAATAACAAGGTAGAATTTACCGAAAGTACAAGCTGATGATAGCCACAAATGTCAAACATGAAACAAAATTTTCGGTATAGCAGTGTTGGCATGTTTTTATAATATAGATGCTGTGTGCTTCGAATATAAAAATATAAAGTTTTAGAAAAGTACATTTTGTTTATATTATGTTGTGCATTCTGCAATTTTTGATTTATATAAAACAACAATGAGTAAATATTTGTTTCTTTCGAGATTAATTGCAGTTAATTATTAGAATTTTTTTAGAAATTACACTTTGGTAGATTAGGGGATAGATTTGGCAATCGTCAAATCAGCAGTTGCCAGATTACAACATATGTTTGCAATTAATCTCGAAAGAGACAAATATAAATCATAAATATCATCATATCATAAAATAGTATAATCAAAATATACTTTAAAAGCTTTATCTCTTTATATTTGGAGCATACAATATATGCATTATAAAAACATGTCAACACTGCCAAGCCGAAATATTTTTGACATTTGCGGCTATATTCAGCTTGTGTTTTCGGTAAACTCAACATAAAAAAATAATTGTTGTTTTATACCTTTTCTTCAAAAATATTTCATATTTCATTTTAAACGGTATAAGAGCGATGATTTGAATAAATTTAACAAAAACGGAATAACGTACTTATTTATGGCTTTGAATATTCCATTTAATATATTATTAAGTATTATTCACTTAATAAAATTAATACAAAATACAACTTGAAGAGAAATGAGATGATGAAGCATAGAATTTTATTTATATATTTCCACGAATCCTGGGATTCACCCGATTCCTACTGTAAATCCCCCTAATAATTTATTTTATAAAATCTAAGATTTTTGTAAATCCCCTAATTCCTGCTCCAGAATTTGCTTCTCCTTTATGAAACTATAAGGATTCTATTTTTGGCAGAAATCTATTTAGTAGTATAAAATAAAGATTCCAAGAACGTGGACAGTTAGCGACATCTGATAATAGAATCCTTTAGTAGTTTACTATACTCTTTTTTAACCAGGAGGAGTAAACCAAAAAGACAGATTCACACTCAAGAAAGTTACTAGAAAAATCACCAAATATATCTTCTTTTTTTGTTGATTATCTCGGCCTTACGGTAATCGAGTAATCAATATTGGACAATATCACACGTCAATTTTAACCTAACTTCGTTTATTTATGTTTGAATAATAAAATAATTTTTTTCAATTCACTTCCAAAATATATTTTACAATTATTACAATAAAAAAAGGACGTTTTTCAGATTTGGTCCCATGTATATATATTTAAATATCGGGTGATCCAGTTTTATAGATCTCTTAAGTCTATGGTATTTAATTATAATTTATAGAATATTTTGATTGGGAGAGTCCATAATGTTACAGATCTAAGTATGGTTTTTCTCAGAAATTTGTCTTTAATTAGTAGACCATATTCTTATTCTGTAGGTATGATCAATTTCTTGAATCTAGTTTTTTTTTATTACCAGATACTTTGTATAAATAAGTGTGTACTTACAATTTCTTTAATGCTGGATTCTTGTTTAATTTTGACAGTGAGTTTGTCCCATTTGTTATCAACAAATAAAATTTACTAAAAAATACTGGATTTCTGTGGGATAATCAACAAATCCAATCTATTATGTTACATTCTTGCATAATTTTGCAGTTTTCTTGTGATGATCGCATCGAGCAAAAAGACAATGTCTTTTTGCTCGATGGATGATCTACAACCAGGAAGAACAAAAATCAACTGTATCATACAATCAAACTAAAACACAACATTACCTTACTGATGTTCTTTTATTGTGATGAAAACAAAATGGAAATGCTTCTTAACAAGTATACACTAAATTTAAAAGATAGTTGCCATTTTCTTATGATAATTAGCTATAAATAACATACATTTATAAATTTATAAACACTTTAAACTATATTTAGTATAAATATCATCTAGAAAAATATCACATTAAATACTATTCGCATATCACCAAGTCCAAGTTACTACAAACAACTTAAACAGTCAGAAATCGATTTATATATTAGAGGAAAATAATAATAAATAAATTTCACAAATGTCATTAGTGTCAATATGTCATAATTTAGTGGAGTAAACTTGCCTGCGGTTGGACCAATTGCAAACAAGCATTACGGCGCGGAAAATTTGAATTACTCCTCCTGGTTAAAAAACAGACCATAGTAGTTTAAGTATTTGTAATGAAAGATCGCTTATTTAATACTGTTAATACGAAGTTGTTTTATACCTGCATTAAAGAAAATGTTATTATAATAGGCCTATGTCGGTAAATATTTGAGCCGGTCAAAAATCCCTAGATTTTACAATAAATATCAATGCTCGTATCCTGAAATATCCCTAGATTCGGGATAAATCCCTAGACCTGGCAGCCTGGCTGCCACTCACTGCGTATGGCGTCTTGTGGGAGACCGACTCACGGACGGTTCCGAATAGTACAGTCGGCTAAACACGAATTTGAATGGCCTCGGATGGATTTATATTCATATTAAGATGGCCTCGGTTAACCAGGTATCTCGGTTAACCGAGGTTCTACTGTATTCAAAAGTTGAACAATAATTTAAAAAAGTTTGATTGCCACATATAATAGATAAGATAAGATAAGACAAAAAAAAACTGTTAAAAATTTGTCATTCTAGGCGGTAATAGTCCCTTAACTTCCATACCTTGAATCCTAAGAGCAAAAGATGTGATTATTGTTTTGTATAGCATAGTTTTCTCTATTTTTCTGAAACGGTAGACAATGTTACTCGAAAATATTAAAAAAGAAAAAAAACATTTTTAAGGCTCTCTAAACTTATTTAGTTGTAGGAACTCTAGCTTTCTAGAGCTTTCTAGTAGCTATTTTTAGCTTGCTATTATAAGATTTTGATAATAATAGTGCCTCTTTGTTTCAACCTTTTGTGTTAATATGACAACATTTCATAACAGACTTTTAAAGAACTATTTTGGCGGCGTCGGTTCAGTAAATCGTGCCAATGACAAAGTGGCGCATGAAAGTATGTCTGAATAACAAAGACCACTAACTAACACCTCGCAGATGTGCCACTGACTAAATGCCGATCTTCCCATCATTTCACCAGTCGGTAGCTGGAGGTAAAAATTCATAATTTGCTTATCACACTATAATTGGTGTGTGCTGTATATCGGTTGAATTTACATACTGTATTATGCAGAACAAATCAATTTTGCTAATGTCTTTGTTAAATAACATTTTTATAGCTAACACAGGAAGAAACTAAAGACTTATCTCAGTAATTTGCAAAATCTGAAATACGAACCTGGTTTAGGATGTGATCCGGTCCATAATAAGTTAAAATCTGATGAATTCGGAGCCACTTCGGTAATACCATGACAATCCAATAATTTAGATAATAATTTCGATTCGGCTTGTAATACTTTGTAAGTAATATGTAATTTACATGCAGGCTTTTCTTGTATCGATGCTTCTGATGCACTAGCTAAAGCTGAACTTTTAAAAATAAGGACAGTGTTACGAGATCCTAAAGAACCTCCTGATATCCATTCTTCTTCGGAAATGGTCGGAACGGGTTCGTTTGGAGGTATTTCGGTACTAAAAAAAATATTAATGGTAACTATAAGGTAAATGCCATAGCGGGATACAATAGTAAAATTTGAACTTAGTTTTATTTGGGATTAGGCTCACGACAGTTCATATTTAAAAACCCCGTTAGCCAAACTTTTAGCACTCTAGGTGGCCCCAGGCCGCAAAAAATATCTGTTTTCGAAAAAAAAAATTCCTCTGCGATCCTTTGCTTTAAAAAATCTGAAAAATTTCATAAACGTACATTTTAATTACCAAAAACACTCTAGTTTTTAATGGAGAAACAAACAGATGAGGTTATCCACAGTCGCCTAGTTCAAGTAGCCCGAACGCATGAGTTATGCTCCAAAATAAACATAAAATAAATATAAATATAAGCATCATCAAACTTATAATGCATTGAGACAATTCCTTGTACTTATATGTAAGTATTCTTATATTAACAAAAAGAGAAATCATACGATTTCTGCCTGGCGAAATCGAATTGAAATCTTAACCACCGTGCTTTCTAAAACTTGCAAAGCAAACAGCTTGATGAATAAATCTGCAAGGGAATCTAGGATTGCATTCCAAATGCCGTTCTTCATGGTCAAAATTCGTAGTGAATTCAATTTCTGGTATTCCAAACGGAGTAAAGAAATAAAACATAATGACGGTACTAGATTTTGATTCGATACAGAGCAGCGACAAGCCGCTTATACGTATTCCGACCTCTTTAGGTCTCCTTAGAACGGTATAGCCACTAGAAAGCACGGTGGTTAAGATTTGAGTTCGATTTCGCCGGGTAGAAATCGTATGATTTCTCTTTTTGTTCTTAGATGGCGTAGTTACGTCTGTGTAGTTATTTTTGATAACTATTGTCTACGACGGAATAGATTTTGTTTCGATACGGAGTAGTGGCTATACCGTTCTGAGGAGACCTAAAGGTCGATTCACACACATCAGTCACGTCTCGTTACAGTCCTGGCGTCGAACCGAACAATCCGTCAGACAAAATATTCTTTAATAGAAATATGGCGCCGGTATTCAGAGTCATCAGGCGACGAACAGTTTCCCAGCTGTCAGATAATTAATAGTTCTGTGACCAAACAGGACCGGTTCGGCTCATCTAGTATCCTCATTATGTCTTCTTATATTATCATACTACATATACAAATACTCATGCAACTTATGCCTGAAGCTGGTCTCTTTGAAACATACTTCATATTATATAACTGACTACTTTTATATTACTTACTATTTTATATTACTAACTACTTTTTATATAACTGACTATTAACTGTGTTCTTTTCATACCACTGTTTCTTGAGGGCCTGAAGAGACTGTATAACTTGTAAACAGCAAAATCGTCCAATCTTTGTTTTAATAAAAACTTAAAAACCTAATACGAAGTTGTGACTATAAGTTTTTAGCATATATGAGTACATGAAATAAAAGAACAATACCTGAAGAAAGATGCAGAGAAACGGAAATCGTGGATGACCGATGAAATACTTGAACTTATGGATCAGAAAAAAAAACCAAAGAAAATCTCCAAGAATATAAGAGAATACATACCGTCGTCAGAAGAAAAATAAGAGAAGCCAAAGAGAAACAAAAAACAGAGCAATATCAAAAAATAGAGGAGTATCAGAGTCTATATGATACCTTCAATGTTCATCGAAAGCTGAAGGAAATAGCCTTAAAGTTCCGAAAATGCAACAGCGGAAAAATAACAGATGATGAAGGCAATCTTGCCATAACCAAAGAACATAAATAGAAAGTATGGGAAGAATACTTGGAGACACTTTTCCATGACCTTAGAACAATACAAGAGCCCACATTGAAGAAAATTCAGGTCCCAGAATCCTACCAGAAGAAATAACGGCAGCCGTCAGACAAATGAAGGATGGAAAGGCACCACCGGGACTTGATGAAATTCCTGCAGAACTATTGAAGCTATTTGATATAGAACAAATAAAAATAATACCTGAAATATTTAATGAAATATACAAGGCAGGAAAAATACCAGTAGAGTAACTCAAATCGGAGTTTGTACCATTGCCCAAAAAACCAAGAGCAAAATTTGTGAAGATTATAGGACCATAAGCCTCATGAGCCATCTGCTGAAGCTGTTTTTATAAGTCGTCCACAAAAGAATTTACTGGAAATGTGAGGAACAAATTTTGTGAACGCCGTTGATATGAGGACGAGGGAAGCTTTATTTAGCGTGCAGGTATTGTTTCAGAAATGTAGAGATGTCAGTTGTAATGTTTTTACATGTCTCATTGACTACAAGTAGGCTTTCGATAGGGTCAGGCATGAACAAATAATGAAAGTGCGGAAGAGAACAGGGATTGACGGAAAAGACTTAAAAATAATAGCTAACCTGTATTTGAATCAATCAACAATGCTCCGAATAGATGGAAAATACACAGATCAGGTCAAAATCTTAAGAGGAGTGAGACAAGTGTGCATAATTTCACCACTGATATTTAATCTGTATTCGAAGCACATTTTTGAAGAGGCTCTAAAAGATATTGATGAAGGCATCTCAATAAATGGAGTCAAGCTCAATAACCTGTGGTATGCAGATTATACAATAGTGTTTTCGAATACCATAGAAGGGCTGCAAATAACGGAATGAACAAAATAATGGAAACAAGTAGAAAATATGGACTGGATATAAACGCCAGCAAAACCAAGCGAATGATCATCAGCAAGAAAAACATAACTGGAGCAAATATGTATGTGAACCAAATGAGAATTGAACGTGTCTCACAATACAACTACTTGGGAACCATAATCAATGAGTCATGGGACAACACCCAAAAAATTAAATGCCGCATCGGAAAGGCAAAAAGTGCATTCTTGACTATGAGCTCTGTGTTCAAGAGCCATGACCTCACCCTAGAAACCAAAATAAGGCTCCTTAAATGTTATATGTACTCAGTGCTGTTGTAGGGAGTAGAAACGTGAACATTAAAGGCGGAAACTCTATCAAAACTTCAGGCTTTTGAGCTGTGGCTATATAGAATGATCCTGAAGATACCATGGACAAAGTCACCAATGAAGAAGTACTGCGGAGGATGAACACAACTGAGGATTTGGTCAACATCGTGAAGGGCCGTAAGCTGCAGTACTTGTGACTTATAATGAGAAATCAAGGCAGGTACGAGCTAGTTCAATGCAGTTTTATAAGGTAAATTGAAGGGAAAAGGGCCCCAGGACGAAGAAGAATATCCTGGCTTGCTAACCTGAGAGCATGGTATAGAAATAACTCAACACAGCTATTTCGTATAGCAACCAACAAATTCATCATAGACAGAATGATCGCTAACGTTCGGAACGGACAAGCACTCTAAGAAGAAGACATACGCGTAACCCTACATATAGCTAAATAAGTTTTTCATTAGCTATTGTTTCATCTTAGACAGACCGCCCATCAAACTGGCATGGCAAGTGGCAAGTAGCAAGTAGCGCGCGTCTAGCATGTTACTTAAAATGTAACCAATGAAAACGGATGATTCAGCGCACACCAAAATGACAGTCACGTCATTCATTCTAATCGTTCGTTTGCAGTGGCAGTTTGCAAGTCCACTTGCCATGCCAGTTTGGTGGGCGCTCTCCCTTAGTTGTGTTTACCGATTTCTTTGTCGTAATTAACATTTTTATATGAATCCTTTTTGCATTCTTAATAAAACGTCCTGGTTAGTAACGTGGTCGGTATAGGATATCTTCAGGATATCCTTATAATAAGATAATAAGTGGATAACGTCCTTTAATTTTATCATGTCAAATGCCTTCTTAAGATCCACGAAATATAAATATGCCGGTTGGTTGTATTCTAATGATTTCTCTTGCACTTGCCTCGCTATAAATATACCGTCGGTGTACGATCTTCCAGACATAAAACATTGTTATTCTTCTGCTAGTGCTATAATTTCATTCAGTTTATTTGTTAACGTAACTTTGGTTGTTAATGTTAGTATTGTGTTTAATAAATTAATCCCTCTGTAGTTCTCCGGGGTCTCCCTTTTTGAAGAGAGGCATTAGGATGCTTGATCTCCATTCTTGTGGTATTCTGTTTTGTTCTATTATTTTTTGGATTTGTTTTAAGATTTCAGATCTGGTCCTTCTTACTTCGATTGGTATTCTGTCATCTCCTAGTGATTTTCTATTTTATAATTTCCATAACGCCTTCTTTACCTCTTTATTTCATCGTTTGTCGTAACTTCTAGTGTTGGTGGTTCATTATCGTCACCGTTAACAAATGGGGATGTTAAGTAGTCTGTCCATGTTTCTTTCTGAATGTGTTTTTATTAGTTCTTTCATCTCTTTACATTGTCCTCTAATAATTCTCCGAAGTCATGTTATATCTGTTTTGAAAAACTCCCCAATGTTCCCTTTTTATTTGTCTGGCAAAAGTATTCGTTCCATTTCGGATTCGTTTAGTCTCTTTAAAATAGCCTATAAAATACTGGCAATCACTAAAAACATAAACTGAATGAGAAGATAAATGAGATAGTAAGACAGTATCAATCTGGCTTCAGAAAGAATGGAGCGATAAATCATCATCATCATCACCATTCTGGTTTTACAACCCTGCGTGTATCCTAGCCTCCTCAAGAATTTCTTTCCAACCGTCTATCCATCGCCTTCCTCTGTCACGCACCTATTCTCATATTTCTCTTGTCTTCATCGATGTTATCAAAGAACCTTGTTCTGGGTCTTACTCTTCTTGTCTGACCAATGGGTCTATCAAGAAGCATTTTTCTAGCTGGGTCATTTTGTTCCATCCGCATTACATGCACTATCCACCACAGACGTCCTATCTTAATATGTTTTACGATATCTGGTTCCTGGTATATTCTATAAAATTCGAAGTTGTATCGTCTTCTCCACACTTCATTCTCATTCACTGCTCCATATATTCGCCTTAGTACTTTTCTTTCGAAACATCCTAACATGTTTTCATTACTTTTTATTAGAGTCCAGGTATCTGTACCAAATGTTAGAACCGGACGCAT